GCCGTGGCCTAGGTTTTTCACTGAAAATCCTCGTCCCCCGGCGGCACCTTTTTTTGAATTTTCTTCCTTTTCACGCCGTTTTTCGGGGATTTCGGATTTTCTTTGAATTTTTTCGCAATAATATTTGAAAAATAGATAAATTTTAACACATTTTAATGCAATAAAAATTTTTGGTCGGAGTCCCCCTTTAAAGGTGGTGTGCGGTGAAAAATTTTATTGCTTTATTTTGTGCAGAAAACCATGTAGATTCCCATAAAAATAAAAATAAATTCAAAAAAAATTCCTTCGTTGAGAAAAACGGCATCGAAAAGTCAAAGTGGCAACCGGTGGCCTAGCGGCCAGGTGTGAGTTTTCTAGGCCAATTGCCGGTAAAAGCGCGCGAAATTCGAATTTTTATCGATTTTCAGTGTTTTCTCTGATTTTTGACAAATTTTTTCCTACACCTGGGATGAAATAAACAAAAACATTTTGAAATCTTAAAAAAAAAACATCAGAGAAAACACTGAAAATCGATAAAAGTTCGAATTACGCGCGCTTTCACAGGTGGATCGCGAGGAACGTTATATGGGATCGCGCGGTGCTGTATATGCTCGCAATACAAAACATATAGGGGCGCATGATGCGAGCATATAGGATCCACGCGCCGACTAACGCATATAGGATCCACGCCGCCGCCCAGCAATTCCTCCCCTCCCCCAGGTCCTAATATCCTCTGTGAACTGAAAATAGTGTTTACCAGTACAAATTTATTGAAAATTAATAAAAATGACAAAAATGAAGTAAAAAGAACATAAAAATAAATGAAAAATTAACATTTTTGTCTCCTGGCTCCTTGGACTCGATATTTTCGCCGCATTTCTCCCTCTTTATATCCATTAGACGAAAGTCCAATCGAGAAGTTGCTCTTGGTTGTTTTTTTTTTCTGAAAAACTGAATATATTTTGAAAATTTTCGATAGTTTTAATTATTCACAGCGAAAATTTGTCAAGCCTAGTACTTAGAAAACGAAGCTGCTTTTGCAAATTCGTATATTTCGTGTGAAGCGATACCTCTAGCAAAAAAGCAAATCTTGGAATGCTCTTTGCAAGTTCAGTCAAAACAATTTCGCAGGTGTTCTTTTATCGAATTATTTTCAAGCGTTTCAAACACAAAATTCGCTAACCTTTTCGTTTTTCTGTCGGTGCTGTTTCTTTCACTTGTCGTGTGGCCAGTGGAGACGGTGAAGGGTTTAGTTGTCACCGAATTCTGAGCTCCGCTTCTGAAAAATGAAGTCAGTGAGAAACTGAATGTCATGCATGTTTCTTACCTGTAGCTATCCGCAGAAAACTTCTGGTTTTTAGCTTTAGGTAGACAAGCTTTAGGTAGACAGATTTACGGTAAACAACTCGCGATGCGGGATATCGGAGCGTCGTTGTGTACTTTTTCAGCGGAATTACCAAATTAAATGTGCAAAAAAATCCGATTCGTGTGGAAATATATAATATTGTGATGTAAAATAAGCAGACAGAGCATAAGGGCATTTTATGGTAACATAAAATCCGGATTTTGACAGGTTTTTTTTGGAGTAAACGTCGCAACACAGCCTGCAGAAAATGTTGAACTTTTTAAAGACAAAATTCCCATCGAGTTTAATGAAATTCCAAGCCTAATATCCAGCAGCTGTATATGTTTTCTGATCACCTGTCTTGGTTAACTACTTTTCCCCGATAACACTATTTTTCATTTACATGTTTTGTAAATGCCATCAGGTTTCCGTGAAGACACATTTTAGAATGAGCCACCTCTTCCCCTTTAACTTTAAACTTTGAGCTAATTTATCTGGTTTCCTGTGAAAGATATCAGAAAGTTGTTAACTGACAGAATGTTTTTGATATTATAATAAACATTTTGTCAGTTGATCATTTTCTGATATCTTTTACAGGAAATGAGATATATGGGATCGAAGTTTACAGTTTGGTTTGCACTCGATTAGAATGTTGAGGGAATATGGAACCTATATGCGAGCACGGACTGGGCATATGCTTTCCCTGCTTACTCGACGCCCACCGCCGCCCACCAGCAACCACCAGCCCAAATAGAGGGCTTAACGAACGCTATATGCGCGCATTCACAGTATGGGCCACAATGCGCCCATATATGTTCTATGTTCTGCGCGATCCACCTGTGTTTACCGGCAATTGGCCTAGAAAACTCACACCTGGCCGCTAGGCCACCGGTTCCCACTTTGACTTTTCGATGCCGTTTTTCCCAATGAAGGAATTTTTTGATTTTTTTTCTTTATTTTTATGGGAATCTACATGGCTTTCTGCACAAAATAAAGCAATAAAATTTTTCACCGCACACCACCTTTAAAAACTCGAAATACAGATGTTTCCTGAACATTTGAATGCAAAAGTGAGTTAACAGTAGTTACAGTACACCATGACTTCGGCGGTCTGAATAAGTACGCAGTATCTCTCAGTCTAAATCCATATGCCCAAAGTGCGTAAAAGACTATTCAATCACATAAATATGTTCCCAAAGAGAGATAGGAAGAACGAAATTAAACTACATACAAATAGATTTTAAAAAGGTGGGACGGAGATAATGATCAAGATTTTTATTTAAAAAATACCCGACTTTTTCAAAAAGTTTAGCGGCCTGTCATCCGCTCTTGATTCCCACACTTTCCACGCGCTATCTACCCGTCATCAATTTCGCAATAGAAAAATCGGCTGGTTTCTTGGACTGTTTCTGAATTTTTGAATTCCTCCTAAAATCTTCTGACGTGAAAGTCAGAAAGTTCTTGAAATAATTTCGACTTGCCACAAAGAGAATTTGATAAAAATTTTGCAAATGACCTGGAACTGGGTGAACATGGAGTTCTGTCAAACCTCAAACTGTTTTTCAGGTCAATATGATATGCTGAGGGTGTATGCGAGAAAAAGTATTTTATTGAATTTCTGAAAAGATTGACTGAACGGAATTTCAACAGGAATAAAAAAAAATAGTTCATTAAACATCAAGCCTTACAAGTATCAAACCCAGTAATCAAATAAATCCGCAAAAAACTTGTTTTTTTGAAAAAAATCACATCAAAAGAATATCTCTAACACTATCATCGAATCTCATAAAACTAAATAAATCAGAAACCCTTGTCTGATTGTATAGACTCTTGACACCACATCGGATTGAGCTTATTAGCAGGAGGATTTCCCCAAATCTTTCAGCTCCAGTTTTGAAGTTCTTCATCATACAATGATTCATTAACTCCTCCATACAATTTGTGTAGACACCTGCCAGCACACCTTCCTGGCCAGAATACACGGCTCGTTTAGAGCAAGATGCTGAAATTGAAAAAAAAATTTCATTTTTAGATGTTGTTGACGTACGCTTTAATATCAGAATCGTCTTCAATGCGGCACACTCTGTCTCATCGAGTTGTAATTTTCGGAACGGCCATACTACTGTACCCAATATGTTGGTCACAAAGTTATGGTGGAGTCTGAAAAGATTCAATTATCCAAAGTTTTTAGAGCTGCAACGTACTGTGTCTTAACTTTGATGCCTTCTACATCAATAGTTGTTTGGGGTAGACCAAAAAAATAATCATTGTGCATGAAGCTCCCATTTGGAAGTAGCCAGATCCCTAGATCCGCTTCTTTTGCAGTCTTGTAAGCCGAATCGATTAGTAGGAATGCCAGAAAGTATTCGGATAAGACACTTTTCTTAATTTCTATGGATAATTTCTTGAATGGTTTCAACCGATCTGCCCACTCATTTGCTTGTTTCAGAGCCAATTTCATCATTATGTTTACGTCCTGTGCTCTGGCTCTCCGGCGATATTTCACAATGTTCTGGAACTAAAATTATCTTTTAAAAACCTATTTTAAAAAGCATTAAAAGTTCTTCGTAGGCAGAAAGTCTTCGTGATCATCTTCGTATGCAGAAAGTCTTTGTGATCATCTTCGTAGGCAGAAAGTCTTTGTGATCATTTATAGGATTTACGGAACGGGAAGAGAAGAGGACACATTCAGCGCAAACGATGATCGTTATCGGTGCGACCATTCAATCACATGAATTTGTTCCCAAAAGGAGAAGATGAAAGAGTGAGAGTGAAATTAGACTACATACAAGATGATAAGAACAATTTGGAACGGGAGTGATATGATTGGATTTTGATATAAAAACAGAATTGACCCATTTTTCAGCTTTATCGGCATGTCATCCGCTCTTTTTTACGCACTTTTTACGCGCAAAATAATTTCTGATAGACCCGGTATATTCCTTGGAGTTTTGACCCTAGAAGCTGAAAAAAAACACAAGGCATAATCTTTGGAATGTAGCAGATGGTTTTTGAAAAACTAAATTTTAAAAATATTTCTTAAGATAATTTTTACAAAATTTGAAAACTAGTGTTTCATCAGAATAGAGAACTACCGATCAGGGTTGTCGTACGATTGGCCTCGGCTTGCCTGATTCCCGGCTTGGTCGGCCGGCCATGTTAAAAAATGTTTTGTTGGCCAATTTTGTCGAATCTTTCAAACTCTGATAAAATACAGGTTTTCATTCCGAAGGATTTTGCTCAGCCCCACACGGTCGGCCGGCCAAAAACATTCTCTGATAGAATGCCATTTTATATGTACTTGTGTTTCGAGCTTAATTAACTCGATTCTTATCAACAATATCAAAAATCTGTAAACTACAAAAATTTTGCTGATATTATGGCAAAAACTTTATCATTTGACAGATTATTGACATTTTTTAAAGAAACCGAGATAATTGAGCTCGAAAAAAGTCGTCAATTTAGAACATAGATTTAGAACAATTTAGAACAATTTAGACCATAGTACACCATGACTCCCCAAAGCCACATGTCTTTAAATTCCTAGACCCAATCATCCTTATTCCTATCAAGTAGTAAAATTAACTTTCCCTATCCTCATCTATTCCCTTTCAAACCGTTTTGTGGTCACTTTATCTCTTCTCTTCCGTCCGAAAAACTAATTTCTCCCGGGAATAATTATGTGATTTCGCAAAAGAATGATGTCAATAAAATCACGAAGACTTTTCGAAAAGAACTATTACAAAAACGAGATCAAAAAGATACCTGACTATCTCTGTGAAATGCCACGTCAGCGTCATGAGCGGCAAAGAAGGGCAAGTGTTGGGCATGCTGTTCCCGTTGGAATTGAACAAAAGATCCTAGAAATGCGCTGGGTTGGCTGTCTGGAAACTGAGATTCTGATTCGATTTGAGATTGTATTTTTTACCGCTAAGATATATAACTTTGGGACTTGTTGACGATTCTCTAGAAGCTTTTCTTCTGGGTCCAATGAGGTCCCTTCTTTGAATTGCACTTTCTCGTAATCCGACTTGAAGGCATTTTTCAAACCGACAGGATCGACAAGCACATCGGTATGCTGGGATTAAGCAAGGTTTGATCTAAGTGAAGAGACCCTCTAATAGAAGAGCACCCCAATGATAAAGGGGACCCATACAAAGACTAATAAAATGTCATGCCCTTCAGACTTAAGTATTACGGTATACATAAAAACTCACTGTAGGAAATGATACAATTGCCGGCTCTCAAACATTTATATTTCAGATTCTTCACTATTGTTCTTCGAAAAAATACAGTACACCCTAGGCAGGCTGGTGCTCCGTATCTCTTATTATTAAAATGGTCTCCACAGATTTGACAACAATCATCTGAAGTCGGAATAGAAGGCGTGGAACTAGCAGAAGATTCAGACAGAACAATAACGGAGTCCTCTTCAAAAAGCGTCATTTCTTGACCGTAAAAGCACATGACGTTTTGGCGTCGGGATTGAACGGAGACTTTCAATAAGTTTGAATGATTTTAGGATCAAAAAACTATGGAAAAAAGTGGGCGGAGCCTTTCTCGTCTCTAGTCTGGACGAACATTTTGCACTAGGGTTTGAATAGGGTACATTGCGAGAGAGAAAGCTGAAGAAAAAGATGAACTGCGTGCATCTAGGAAAACGAAGATCGGAGATTGGAATCGTTGAATTCGGAATTCTTTTCGCGGACACAGAGAAGCAAGCGAGGGAATACGATAACGGGGACGTGATTTGTGCCCTACGGGTGTAGCCTACGATTGGACCGGATGAGGCGAGTTTCAAAAACAAATGAAGCTTGTAATAAAAGTTCATTCTTGTAACTTCTGGTCAGAAGTCGAGCAGGGTTCAGCTGTTGGCCAGATTCTGGTCTTAGCTTGCCCAAAAGCGACTGTACAGCGGGCCATGTTCAGATATTAATCAGAAATCGAAAGTTTAAATATTTACTACTATGTCGACTCTTTTACTACTATTTTAGGAGATCGGTCGGCTTGTCTTACCTAGAATCTGACCAATCTCCAACCTGAAGTTACTGAAAAGGAACGTTTTTAAAATGTCTTTTTGGGATTTCGCTGAAAATTTGTAGAAATGTACTTCCGAACATGATGAAAACGAGTTAAGTGATATTTAGTCACTGCATCGGATTGGAATCAGAATGTGATTTTTAAAAGTGTTCCAGTGCTGCATTTTGATGATTTTTCAGAGATAAGACCAAGTTAGGGTCCTTCAAACTTCTTTAGTTTTCATTGTAAAATCATTGTTCTCTGGAGGAACGGATAGATTTTCCACTGGATTCAAACTCATTATTATTCGATAGAATTGAAATGAAAATTGTAGAAATTGGTCCATTCTTCTAAAAAAATACGGATATTTTTATGATTTTGGTGAAAAAAGTTTATGATCGGTATATGTATCTCAATTGGAAGGATGCGTACAAACAAGTCATCAATTACTACGAACCTGAAATTATATTTTTGTTTAGTAGACTTCTGAATTCAACAAATCTATTTAGTCCCAAATTCGGCATATTAGTTTCGGAATAACAATGTGTTTTTTTCTTTTTTGTTGAGCGTCTAGGGGGAAAACTTCACCCAGTACCCAGATCCAGGCTTTATGCAAAACTTTGATAAAAATCTTTCGGTGGCAATTTAACATTACATAGAATATTTTTAGGGAAATTTAAAAATTCAGGAGTAGTTCAAGAAACCAGCCGATTTTTCTTTAGCGGCGATGATGATGGGTAGATAGCGCCTAGTAGGTGTGTGAATCGAGAGCGGACAACGGGTCGAAACACGGAAAAAATCCACATTTTCAAAATCACAAATCCGAACTTATCTTACTAGGGTAGGCCCCAATTCGGGTGTGGCGATACGGGTGATGACCTATATCACCTGAAAGCTGACATTTTCCTGATTCCAAATCTGTTTTCAAAAAGTGCATTGTCGCGGTAGTTTTCGAGAAAATTGGGTCGAAAGTTTTGAAAAGGTGACGTGGATTTTTCATCTCATTTTCCTTCCTCAGGTATATAAGTTTTGAAGCATAGAAACAATGTGGAAGCGTGGTCGAATGGTTAGTGAGGAAGAATATGAAGCGGGTTCTCTCTGGTTCGACTCCCTCAAGCTGCTAAACTATTTTTGAATTTTTTCTTCGTTTTTTTCCGGTGACTGTACCTGACTTCTAGGTGATCCTATATGGTTCCATATACTTAGCATTGGTTTCCATTTTGATTTTAACTGTTTTTCCTATTATTTTCGAAACTTTTTGTTTTCATCTGCTTTTCCACAATTTTCAAAGGATAGTCCATTGAAGATTCTAGACAAACCTCATATTTTTGATTTTGCTCAAACTATTGTCATTGGTCCTTTTGGGCACGCTGATCACAGAACTGAAGTCATTTTTTCCACCCGGCCTTGTGAAAAAAGTTATGAGCTACAAAAGTGACTACAGCACTAATTTCTCATTTTTAGAGTGAGTTTCTGAAGGAATTATTGACTTTATTTGGGGATATTCAAATGCTATTCGTATTTTGTATGCGTGTCTACAATCTGAAGAAGTTTTCTCTTATTTTCGAAAAAAAAATTTTGTTGAAAAAATCGTCATGGGGTACCCCATTGTTTGGCATTTTTTCAATTTTCGAAAAACTTTTAATGTGCTAGAATTAGTTCAAAACAAAGAGAATAAATAAAAAAAGTTGTTTCACGAGATTCGATAACCTATGTCCATTTATACAAGTCAGATACGGTCACCGGAAAGAACGAAGAAAAAATTCAAAAAAAGTTTAGCAGTTCGAGGGGGTCGAACCAGAGAGTACCCGCTTGATTTTCTTCATCACTAACCATTCGACCACGCTTCCACATTCTTTCACCGTTTTAAAACTTATATACGTGAGGAAGGGAAATGAGATTGAAAATCCACGTCATTTTTCAAAACTTTCGACGCAATTTTCTCGAAAACTACCGCGACAATGCACTTTTTGAAAACAGATTTGGAATCAGGAAAATGTCAGCTTTCAGATGATATAGGTCACCGCCCGTATCGCCACACCCGAGTTGGGGCCTTCCCTAGTTAATCATCTCGTATGTAGTCTACTTCGAAATCCAGTTGCCAAATTTTTAGCAGACACAAAAGCGCCAAACCCAATTGTCAGAAACGCTCCCTAGATAGCTTTCAGGCCTAACAAAAGTACTTCGAGCTCAATTATTTCAATTTTTATAAGAGATATTGAAAATTGTTAAAAAATTAAACCATTTATCAGTTGAGAGGTATTTGTTGTCTCTATTGAAATTGAGATAATTGAGCTGAAAGTGCAAGTATGGGATGACTTTCATTAGAGTGTTTACGGTAAATAAGACTTTTTTGCTTATCGTTGTACACTTGATACTCAGCCAACGAGCTTTATAAAAATCAGAAGCGAAATCTCACGTTTGCTAGGCGCGATTCATGAAAATAGGTTTCGGACGGTTTGCCGATACTGTAGATTATTATCAGGTCACACAAAGACCAATTACACTGAACAGAAAAAGGATCCTATTTTTAAAAACGGCAAAATATACTTGGATTCTTAGATTTTCCAACAAAAAAACTTCAAATAATCGATTTTTCGATCCGCCCCAGGAAAGCAAAACTAGTAAAATTCACTTTTCGATTTCAACATTCGGTAAAAAATAAGGAAGCAGCCGAGTATATTGAGTTTTTCGACATGGATGATATTTTGTTCCCAAAAAATTATCCAACATATCTGGAGGAGTTTAGAGCGGAATGGTTGGTAGACCCAACTAGTAATTCAATTTATTATGGGAGAAGAGAACACGAATTTATGAAAGGTTGGGAGGGAGTCTCAGTAGGTAAAATGAGTCAGATTTTCAGCTGAGACACTAGCTGAATTCAATTTTGTTGACCTGGTTTCTAGTCTACTATCTTCGCCAACTGTGAAAAGAGGGAAAGTCGTGGTAAGACCCGATAGATACCACTCCACATGGATCCATTATAGCTGGCATGACTTGAATCGGTTAGTTCCAAATTTCACAGCCAATTTTGCAAAGAATTTAATTTCAGACGAGAAATTTTGTCACCAAACCTGGTCCATGTGCAAAGACCACTCCAGAAAAACGGAAGCAATAAGATCACGGAAACATGGAAAATGGAGTTCGGCTCTTTCAACGAGACTATAAAACAAGAAGATATAGAAGCGATAGAGGAGGATATGAAATTGATGAAAGAGCTTCCGAATATCTCAAAGATATCACAGAAAATCCCGAAATCAGATTTTTACCTCCCTATTGTTTTTGATTGTTACTACAAAGCGTTTTATGGTGCTGCATTTGATAACAAGCCCGGAGGATTCGGATGTCCTAATGCAGATTTATGTGAATTGCCACAAAGGGAAGAGTATAGATGTGTACAGTACTGGCCATAAAGAATGCGACAACTTGTTTTTTGACGATAACTTTTTGAAAACTCAACTTTTCAACTCGAATTTTTTACTGTAGACACATTGGAAAGTTACGAAAACTTGCGTACTTGGAAATTGCATCATCTTGCAAACAAAATTTTTTTCAATTGTTTTCATTTTTTTTTTTCATTTTGCATATTTTTCATGATTTTTGGTTTTTTTAAATAAAGTTGAAAGACAACTAATTGGAATTAGTTTTAGTTATTGTTTTATTGTTTTTCAGATATGGTTAGACCATTCGGGAAAAAATCCTTCTCTGTGGACGAGCGAAAAAGCATTGTGCGTGGTCATGAACTCGGCGCGCATCCGAAGATACTTGCAACTCAGTTTAGTTGTTCTTCCAGCCAAATTTACCGTATTCTGAAGAAAAATCGAGATGATGTGAGGTTTCAATCAGCTTTCTCAACTAAATTTAACAATTTAGAATGGCGTTGTTCATCGCCAATCTCCAGGAAGACCCCGAACCACTTCCAGAAATATGGATCGGAACATTTTGCGCGCATGCCGAGAAGATCCTAGACGCACATCTACGGATATTTAACTTTCTGTGACGTCTCCAAATGAACCGGTACCATCGAGAAGAACTATTAGAAGACGTTTGCAAGTTGCTGGACTGCACGGACGAAGACCAGTCAAAAAACCACTCGTCAGTTTGAAAAACCGAAAAGCTCGCGTTGAATGGGCTAAACAGCACTTGTCCTGGGGCCCCCGTGAGTGGGCAAATCACATCTGGAGCGATGAATCGAAGTTCAATATGTTCGGAACTGATGGTATTCAGTGGATTCGACGTCCCATTGGCTCCAGGTATGCTCCACAGTACCAATGTCCAACTGTGAAACATGGAGGTGGATCTGTGATGGTTTGGGGATGCTTCTCCGACACTTCTATGGGACCATTGAAGAGAATCGTTGGAACCATGGATCGATATGTGTACGAAGACATCCTGGAGAACACAATGAGACCATGGGCAAGAGCAAATTTGGGTCGATCGTTCCAACAGGATAATGACCCGAAGCATACTTCGGGTCATGTCGCCAATTGGTTCAGACGTCACCGTGTGAACCTCCTAGAATGGCCAAGTCAATCTCCAGACTTGAATCCCATCGAGCATATGTGGGAGGAGCTGGAACGCCGCCTCAAAGGAGTCAGAGCATCCAATGCCAATCAAAAGTTTGCTCAACTCGAAGCTGCTTGGAAGAGTATCCCGATGACGGTGGTTCAGACGCTCCTGGAGTCGATGCCACGTAGATGCAAGGCTGTTATCGATGCGAAAGGATACCCAACGAAATATTAAATCACTTTTTATTGTTACCTTTATTTTGTTTTTGACCTCCGGTGTTTCTTGAGCTTCTTTGTATAGATCTCCAAAAATGTCATTTTCATGAATTTTCGAAAAAAATTAATTTTCAAAAAAATTGTAGCAGAATATTAAAACCAACTTAGCCTAAAAGTTTTTGATAGTGCTGAAAAAATCTTACCAAAAATTCGGATTGAAAAGTTGAGTTTTCAAAAAGTTATCTTCAAAAAACAAGTTGTCGCATTCTTTATGCCAGTACTGTACATTCGGATGCGAATTATTTCTCGGGTCCACATATGAAACCCTTAACGTTTCATTTCGCGAATAACTCGTTTTGGAGTTGGAGCATCGGGTGTTATCAATAAATTTGTTATCTGAAAATTTTTTTCGTTCCGTGATTTCTCAAAGGAGGGACAGAAGACAGGATCTTGTGCTTTAGATTTTCTACCCCACGATTCTTTAGCTCTCCCCATTTTTTAGTTTTTCTCTATCAAAGGGGAACTTAGTTCATCAGCTGGTGCAGTTAACACTTCATTGAATATAGACTAGCAGATTTTATCTTCTTCTGTTTTTGTTTATACAATACCGAAACTTCTAATTGTAAGCAAAGCACAGTTCACTCCGTTGTGTTAAATTTTCAAATGGGGGAAGATGAATGACATATTTATTCTTTGTCGGGTATTCGTTATCCCCAGTTTGTGTAATAGCCCCATCTCGTGTTTCTTAATCTCTCTTCATTGTAACTGTATATGTCATGATCCGGAAATTTTGTCGAGCATTTTCCACACTCAAAAAAACGGGAAATCCACTGAAACTTTCAAAAATAGTTTGCAGTATCATAGATACCGTAAAACCTCTAATAGAACGACACCCGGATCGTCCACTTTGAGCCTATATATCTCACTTC